ATTTTTTTTTTCATTTCCCTCTCACTTATCTTTTGGTTTCCCTCTCTCACGAAAACGTAAGGCTTTGTAACTAAGAACACTCCTTCATCAGAAAAATGCAAATGACCTAGCCTCCCTCGACGCTCTCCAACTGCCTGTGATTTCTATAGCACCGAACAAGGTATGTTTTCCGCTCATCTTTTATCATTTGAAGACCGTAAGGCTTTGTAACTAAGAACACTCCTTCATCAGAAAAATGCAAATGACCTAGCCTCCCTCTCCGACGCTCTTCGACGTTCTCCGACTGCCTGCGATTTCTATAGCACCGAACAAGGTATGTTTTCCGCTCACACTCTTGAGATTTAATATTGGAAAAATTCCCTGATCGTTGTTCATTTGGGGTTTTTTCGGATTATTTGCACTTTCAGTTTCATAATCTTTTGTTGCTCCATTTTGACCTAGCTGGTGAACGATCCTAATTCACGGTACAACAAATGAGAGTACCTTTGTCTGCTTTGCTGGAGATGCAACATAGAAGGTAATAGTTGGTGCCCTTTGTTGCTCCATTTTTACGTACATCATTCTTTTTTAGACATACTCAAAAATTTTAATGTCATTAAAATGCGAAAACAAAAAGAATCTATATTTTTAGCTAAGAGATTCTTTACCAATATGGTTTCAGACTTAGTGTGAGAAGTTGGGTGGCAATAATATATGTATCTTTTTTTTTATTACTAATTTTATAAAAAGAAACCAAAGTCTCCAAGTTTTAATTTATATTTTAGCCCTGTTATACTTGTTTGGTATTCAAACAGGGGAGCACATTCATGTACAAGGAAGAAACAGGGGAATGTGACAATACTGTTAATTGCCAAACTTTGTGAGAGTGGAATGTGAAAGTGTTTTGCATTATTAGTGCAGCAGGTATTACTTCATCAGCAAACCCTATGCTTTAGTTTTTACTTTTTTGAGTATGATATATGTGTTGCTTAGATGTTGTTCTTTTCAGCGTTCTCGATTTGTTGGTTAGTTATATGTATACGTTGGTTTGTAAGGGTAATCCTCAATTTAGAAACCGGTTTTGAGTTATGCTCAAACTCGCTTTCTTAAGAGTTTGATATATAATTGTGGGTAGTGACAATACAAACAACAAAAGGCCTTATCACACTAGATGGGGTAGGCCACATGGATCACACGATGTTGATCCATTTGGATCGGTTAAACACGTATTGTGTGCATAGAAACAGAGTTCACACATTTCATCAGGGAACTGCAAGCCAATTCGCTAGTATCAGTTTGTAGTACCTTTGTGCACCGGGTTGCTGAAATTGGACAGTGAGTTTTGAACCTGTGTTTCTCAGGAGATGGTTTTGCACTTGTTGTTCGAAACTCAGAAATTGGTGAACCTATCAGCATTCACAAACGTGAGAAAGAGAAGGAACCGAAAAAAACTCAGAACCCCAAAACCTTTCAACAGTAGTGAGAGAGAGAGTGGGAGATAAAAAAATACAGTAGAGTCCCCAATCTCAAGGCACAACTTTAAGCTTTTATTAAAATTATGAGTTAATTATTCATTTATCTTGCCTTGGAAGTTAGCAAATTATTCATTTATAAAACGTGTTAAACAATTCTCTCCATTATTGATAGGTCAATATAAATTGAAGAAATATATACTTTTTTTTTTGTGTTCACCATTTTTCTCATTAAAACTTAAATGAGCAATTGAAATCTAAGGGGTCTAGCTTGGTTGGTTGAGCAAAGTGTGTGAGCTGTTGTAAACACTTTTGATACAGTGTTTGTTACCAATATTGTTAAGCTTGTCATTTTCAATTCTGTTTTCACTAAAACATGGTGATGCTGCATATTGTCCTCTCAGAATATTTTCTCTTGGCTCCTAGCTACTAAACTAGTCTAAATTCTCCAACACAATTCTAAATTTTAAGCATTAGATCATGTGATCCAACTGTCAAAAAGGGAAATATGCCTTTTAACTAATCGTGGGTCCTCCAATTACTCATAGAAAGCATTTGATTGGTAGGTGAAATTGAAAAAAATTTTAAGGATAGGTAAAAAAAGAAAGCAATTAAAAAAGTTAAAGAAAAGTAGTAAACTCGGAAAAAAAATGAATGGATTTATCCGTTACATGATCAGTCCATTCCTCCACACTTCACACACCCGTTTTTATCTTTTGTGTATATGATGGAGAAGGTGAGGAGGAGTGATAGTTGACTTCT